AAATACATCTTCACGAAACATGTAGCACAAAATACACCTATGACCAGCCTGCCGTTCTCAAGCCTCAGGTGGCATTTACCCTCCCTTTCTATATAGAACCAAAAAATGACACCCTTCAGTTACGCGGGGCACCCAAGTAATCTTTGTATCCATGCCGCATACATATGCGGGCACTGATCTCAAACGTAAGAGTCCTTTGACAACCTCGCATGGCCAGTTCTCAGTCTTATGTATTTATTTCCTCCGTGCCATGTTGATAGGTGTAATTGCAAGTGATTGTATCCATTATCGGATATATTTATACCTAGAATTTATAAATTTAATTAATGTCAATATTGCATTTACACATTATCGCAAGTTGTGCCTTTGTAATTCTTCTTTTGCCCCCTTTGTCGAGAAAGGGAATAAAGTGCGGAACTAGACTCGACCTCGTTCAATAGGCATCTGATACTGGCTCCAAGGGACTAATAGGCCATTGGTAAAGGCTTTATTTGTGATATAAGACTAAGGTTCGTTGTTTTTATCCCTTTAGAGTTCCGATAAACTCACCTGATTTTTTCGCCGGGTCCTAACTTTCATCTGGGTCGGATCAACGTCCAGTCAACTCAGTTTCGCAAACTTTCTTGCTCTCAAGCTTTTTAGTATCGTCGATAAACTCGAGATTAATTGGCTGTTAGTATCGTCGGGCTGTCCTTTCCAGAAAACTTTCTCTTTTTCTAACATAAAAGGAAAAGTTTGGGGAAGGATCGGCTAAATTTTATTACGTTTGTACTTTTCCTTAGGCCCGTTCTCGAATAACTTTTTTTATCGGTGTCCTGTCTTTACATTCTAACATCCTTACTTATAATTAGACAAAGATTATCACAGTTCGTGTGCAAGGGTAGAGAGACCTAGGAGGATCCACCCTCTAACGAAAATATTTTTTTGTAAAATTTAACGCTAGCGCAAACAATAATAAACAGAAATTGGAAAGAACGTTTAGGTTTGTTTTAGGTTTAACCCGTTTAGGGAATAATCGTCCCTCGAGTAGTAATGACTGTTGACAAAATATTTATCGCGATTTCTTAAAAGATTAAAGGCGAATCAATCGACTTTTTCTTATTTAGTGACGTCGATTACAATTGTTACTCGGGGAAATTGATCGATGGACAAAATCTCGCTCTTGTACATAATACATGCATATTTCGTATTTAAACGACGGTATTTGAAAGAAAACAACCAAGAACATTACACGTTTAACCCTTTAAGCTACCACAACATGTACCTATTCTCTTGTTTAACAATGGATTCGTTGTTACTGTGACGTTTTGAACCCCATGTCACGTCAAATGTAAAGCCCGGATTTCTTCTACCAGTTTACATTTAACATGACGGGACATTTACAAATCGTGTATTGCATCGTTTTTCTGTGTTCATGCACATTGACACTACGGACGGCAGTGGACACAGGATAAAAGAAACCACTCAATATGATGGATTAAGGGGCGAGGAGGTCTCTAAGTCATCGGTCGGATGGAAAAGTGCATGGAGCTTGGACAGAAGGGTTAGGATGGATCAAAAGCTTTGTGTGGAATTTTGGACAAAAATAATGTTGAGGACAAAAGTTCCGTCTATTGCCCATTTGTGTTGAAATCCATGAGGATCTTTGTCAGCACCGATGTTCGTGATCATATTCGAGGACCTTCAGCGGAATATATTTTACATGCATAGACTTGTACTTCTCCAGAACAGGTAAGGTTCTGCTCCCTGCTTCACACCTGCCTTGAAATAATGGCTTAGCGTTCACCCGTAGAAGGACAGAGAAGGACTCCGCCCTTCGGCTCTACTGATCTGAGGAGACGCACGTTATCATCCTGTTTACAGTGTTGCGTTAAACTGCGGCATTTGGTTGCACAAATGACCAAAATAAATTAACTTAAAAGATAATAAAACAAAGCGAAACAATATTGTAATAAAATAATGATAAATTGAGAAATAAGATTTATCAAGAGTACAAAAAGCCACTCACCTCCGTGGATGATTAAATATGCATGGACTTGTCACATTCTCTGGCGAGCGTGGTGGTGCAATGTTGGCTTAGAAGTGTCCAAGGAACAAATCCATACATGTGCCTCGTTTTGGGTTTTAAGGAAATAAGGCTTCAGCCATCCACCGGAAAGATAAAGCTAACAATAAGATGCAAATTGTTTTCAAACCACGGCCACCACGAGTCCGACCTCATTCAGCAGAGCCGCTTAGATTCACTCCCGTTCAGACTTAATTTGTAAGGTCGAACTGATTCTCCTCCCTGTAATCCAACAGGAATCCCTCCTGTTTAGATCGGTTGCATTTTTTTCCAAAATTTCCAAATAAACTTAAATACCAAAAAAATGTGAAAGAGGGAGAAACCCCTCCGTTATGAATGACACTATTTGCTGTCACACTCACAGATCTGGTAAGCAAGAAGGTGCCAGGGAAGGGGTTTTCGCTCCTGGAACCAAATATTCAGAACCCATCGGAAAATACACCATACGTTCCAGGCCGAAGTCCATGCAATCGAGAGATGAACCCAATTTAGTCTGAACAAACAGTACAATATAGCAAGAATGTCAGATAGCCAAGTAGCCATCAAAGCATTATGTTCAAACATCATTAGCTCAAATATGGTAGTTAATAGCAAAACTAAACTAAACAGATTACATTTGCAAATAAGGTCACTCTCTGCTGGGTCCGCGGACATGTGGGACTAGAAGAAAAAGGCACCTTTGAAAGAAAGGGGCTACTATACTGCGGCAGAGTAAATCACATTATCAATGAGTAATTTAGTGAAAAGAACAAAATGAAAATGAGGAAACAGTGCAATTCCCTCAATAAACCCAAACAGTCCAAGAAATTTCTAGCAAGTTTTGGAAGGAAAGAGGTAATAGAATGCATTAAAGAAAGCTGGAATAAACTAGCAGGATTCTTAACATGAATGGGAATTTAAAGAAAACCAAAACAGAATGTGCAGATTCTGCAAAGAAGCAGGGGAAAAACCAACTCGCCAACTAACAAACTTTACCGCAAGAGGACGTTTTTTGAGATGTAAAATGTAACCGAAGAAGAAATGTACCAACTGAGACCGGGGCTACTAATCAAGTTCCTTGATGAACTAGGACAGCGAGATATAAGTGTAGGCCGAGGATACAATAGATTGTAAAAGGCGCTGTACATGACACACCCCGACTAAAACCATCAACATCTCCAGACCCGTTGCCTGAGGGGGTACAGGTTCAGTACCCAGGAAGTCAGTGCCAAAATACTGGAGGAAGCGGAGGGATAAGGGAAAGGTAAGGAGCGGGTAGGGCACTGTGAGGTTAGTGACTAAGTAAGGAATTTTGTAAATTTTTCTAAGGGCTTTTGCTTGAAAAGATTGGATGGCTTGGTAGAACCCCATAATTCCGCTGGGTATGTCCAAAGTGGTCGCAGAAATGTCTTGTATAAAGTTAATTGAGTTTTGACGGTCAAGACAGTCATTTCCGTTCGAAAACCTAGTTGCGTTTGCTTGATCGTTTATGCTACTTAGGAAAAACAAGCTACTAACTCAGCTCTTTTGACTGTCAGTTTGAAATAAAAAACGATTATCTTAGTTAACCAGTTTTCTTTTTTGTGACGTCTCGTCATCCCAGGAATCCGATTGGTTGAGACCCGTTGTGACGTCAAAAAGACGGTAACCAGTTAACTAAGTCAGTGGTTTTTTTTAAATTTAACTGTCAGTCTAAGGAGCTGAGTTAGTAGTTTCTGGGGTAGCAGAAATGATCTGTGAGCCTTAAAATGACATCTAATTATGTTTTAAATTATTGATTACTTGATTTGAAGTGTTTAAGTAAATTGTTTGACTTCTTCCCCTCACTTTCAATTTTTATTTTAACCCTATTTTGTTTCCGGTATTGTCTTCACTTAATGATTTCAGTTTAAGTTAAAAAAGGAATGTATGTTTTTTAAACAAAGTTTAGTAGCCTTAGTATAAGAACATTAGCTGATAATTAAAGCTTAACAAAACTTAAGTAGGGAAACATCTGAATTTACACGTGATATGTAGGATCTGTAGGTATTTCATATACAGACAACTATTTGCTACCAGATGATTAAAAAACCTCTTTAGAGGACACCTTGCAAAAGCAGATAAAAGTAGTGAGATTATAACTGTACCTGAGTAAGTTGTTTCACTTAATTACCTCTCAAAATTCATCTTCGTGCCAGTGATTAAATTCCTCTTCTGTAACCAAAGGGCTTTAACTATTTCCGTCCTGAAAGTTCAGCCTCATAAAAGGACAGGAATAAATTCGAAAGAGAGAGGGCGGGTCTCATTCTCTCATCGAGGTCATTCAAATGGAAGTAGAACTCCTCATTCAGTTTTCAGGCAGACTGACGTGAAAATCGCCCCCTTTCGTTGACACGCAGCTGGATGACATTTTCACGGTGTACTGATGCCGGGAATTTTTACGAATGGAAAACACTGTAATAGGTCAAGTTGAGCTACATATAGTATCGAGATAATCAATCACCTGACCACAGTTTTATCAAATCCAATACTTCCCGGCGTCAACATTTTAAGTCCCTCACCTTAAAAGTTTTATAATTTCCAGTCAACTATCTAAATACACGTTAATATTATAAGGAAAGATGTCTGCAAATATAATACATATAATCTTTTTATAAGAAAACCTCCATAAATCGTGTTAAACCTGACAATATTATAAAATGTTGATTATGGTTTTTCCCTTGTAACGGAAGATCCATGTCGTGTAAATATCAGAAAGAACAAGGAAATCTGCAAGTTCTGACGTACACCATACGATAAAATATAAAATTGACAGACTAAAATATACAGGAAATTTCTTGTCAACGGAACTGAGGCAAATCACTACTTTTCAAGGCGTACCTCAAACATCCAACATTCTCCCAGAGAACAATCCGTTATTCAAATTGATTTTCGTTTCTAATTGCATAATTTGATCTATTGAAATTATTTGTTTTAGGCGTGGGTGGTGAAGTTAATCAATTGACAGGAAGGAGCACGGTAAGAAAATGTTTAATCAGTATTTCACAAATATATATTTATATATTTTTCTAAGAGCTGTATATATATATACACACACACACACAAATAAAACATGAAATGTAAGAGAATGAAATGGTGAGATTGAATTCTAGAGGGCCAAGTGTGGAAAGGGGTGGCTCAGGTAGGGGAGTGGTAGGTCCGCAAATCAATTCACTCTTATCTCCGTATCTCTTGTCTCAATTAGGCAACTTGTTGATGCCGTAATACTGTTTGGTTGAAAATTGGGAAAAAATTACCTTCTCCCAAGTCTTACGAGCCTTTTTGACAGTCCCCCTGTAAAAACGTTTGGAATTCGGATAATTTCACTGTCATTCCTTACCGCTAGCATCTCTTAGCTTTCCGCCTTTACCCCTTGACAATCTTTCATCCTACTTGTTTTCCTTATCCCTCCCCCTAATCCTTTTCATCCTTCCGCGAATTCACATAGAAAGAGAGTAACCCGCCGCAAAATGTAGTACAATTTTGATTTATTTTGCAACGCTTTTTTCCCTTCTTCCCCCCTTTCCAGTTTGAAATACAACTCTCTTGCTACCCGGCCCTCATATTTAATTAATTTTTTTCTCACCGCACCTGTTTATAAAGTCCACTAAATTATCCGGAGCCAAAATGAACCGGCCCTCGCTCCCACCCCAACGTCGACGAATTGCCCATATTAATTACTTTCTGATGGATTTTTTTTGCTCCAGCAAATAATATTACATTGATACAACATGCTCAGACTCTGATTATAAACGCATTAGTACATTTTAAAATAAATAAAAAAACAGTAGAGAGAGTGAGAAGGGGTGCGAGAGAGGAGAGGCGAGAAGAGAGAAAGTTAGTAAAAGAGAGAGTGAAAGACAGTTAGAAAAAGAGGGAGAGAGAAAATGAAAGGGAATCAGAAAAAAGAGGAGAAGAGAGAAGTGAGATGGAGGGAGGGGAGAGAGAATAAGAGAAAGAGAGAGTGAAAAACAGTTACAAAAAGAGAGAGTGAGAGTGAGAGACTAAGAGAGATTGAAAAGAGAGAAGAGAGAGAGAGAGTGAAATACAGTACGACAAAGAGAGATAGAGAGAGTGAATGAAAGGGAGAGAGAGAGAGAGAGAGAGAGAGAGAGAGAGAGAGAGAGAGAATGAGAGAGAGTAAAAAATAAGAGAGAGAGAGAAAGAGAAAGAAAGAGAGAACGAGAGAGTAAGAGAAAGAGAGAGAGGGAGAGCTTTAAAAAGGTGTTTAAAACGGACATTGGTTTTCTCAAAAACAAGTTTTTTGGCCTAGTTTCCTGCGTTTTTTGTGACGACTTTTACAATTTAATCTCATTTAATCCAGCCCAAAAATATCTATTTTTTGTTTGCTATAAAAATTCATATTTAACGACTTTAAACGGTGCTTAAAACAGATCCAAATTGGTTTTTTTCGAAAGACATTTTTTTTGGCCAACTTTACCGTAAAGTTTTTGTAATTTTTATCTATTCAATCGAATTTTAATCCAGAAAAAATATCTACTTTTTGTTGGAGTGAAAATTCCTATTTAATGGTTTTAAAGTGTGCTTAAAAAGAAACCGAATTTTGTTTTCTTGAAAGCAAGTATATTGGCCTACTTTACTTGACGTATTTTCTAAGTTTTTATGTATTCATCACTCCTGATCCAGCTCAAAAATCTGGCCCACTTGGCCCAACCGTCTTCTTTAAAGTCGGCTGACACAATTAAAAATTGCCATATCTTACAGTAATTTTGGTATTTTCAATTTTTATTTTAGTGTTCAAATCAGCTACTTTCTTCTCACGACCGCAGTTCAAATGAATTGCCAATTTATTAATTTAATTAATGTTTTATTTATTTAATTAGTGTTAATTAATGTGTTTTATTAATTTAATTAATTGATTAATTAATAGCCAAAGAATAATGCTATATTCTTTCCAATATAAATACTCGATTTTCAGCCATTGGGCCATCTGACACTACACATTCAGGGCAATAAATGCGTTTTAAAAGGGAACATAGATCGTATTACATACCAATGCCTATATACAATAAAACAGCTCTGCTTCTTTCAAAACTCGGAACACAGGACCTAAATACTCGCTGCCCTGCTTAAATTCTCACATACACGCTTCTTATATAGAGCCAAGAAAAACTTCCTTCAAATAAGTGGGATAGTTAATATTCCTCCATCTCCTTTCATAAATACTATCTAATCTAATTGAGGTCCTATTAGCACTGAATATTTCACAATCAGCCCACACACACTGAACATTCACGCTGATAAATACATTCAAGTTCAATGTACATAAAAAGAAACGGAAAGAAGCTCTAGCAAGTACTGTATACAATAACATAACTTTCTTTCTCTACAAATCACATTTGAAGAACTCGACATTCGTCTACCAGCCCTCCCAAACGAAAAATTCACACTACATCACTCACCACATACACAAAAACAATACAAAATGAGATATACCAAAGATTATATACTCAAATACTCGCTGCCTTGCTCAAGCACACTTCTCACCTACACGCTCCTTATATGAAGCCAAATCAGACACCCATTAATTAGTTTGCCACATCGATACTCTTCCATACACGGACACATTATATAAGTAATCTAATTGACATTCGATGGAGTACTCAAACTTCCGCTTGGTCTCGCACTACACATTCACGCTAATAAATACACCTCACGAAACATTTAACACAAAATATAAAGCATGGCCGATTGCCTTGCTCAAGCACATTTTCCGGTGAGATTCCTTGTCCCTCTTTATATGGAGCTTATACTGTGAAAGTCGCTATTTGGAAGACTAAGGCAGAAACCGAATAAGCGACATTCAACCCCCATAGAATAGAAAAATTCATCCATTTTCGATTGGTTTCACTAGCAATGGCGCCTAACACAGAAATGCAAGGAACATAAAGTAGTACAAAGGTAAGATAGCTAAAAGCAGACAATTTCGATCCGAAAGGTGCAGCCATAGCCCCCATTGTACTGCTATCCATATAACCATCATCTTTACTAGCTTCATCAAAACAAAATGGTTGGTTTGTCATATGTCACACCTCTTTCTTAGTGTTTATGAAATGACACATATTTTTGAACCCTACCGTTAATTTTTTAAATTGACGATGCACCGGCACCGCCTTGTATCATTGGTCGTATTATTAGGTTTTCTAAAAGCTTTAGGGTATGATTAATTGGAGATCGTGAGTTGCGGTCTGGTGTTATGTAGGTTTTAGAAAAACATTTTCTTTATCGTGCCAACGTTTCGATCTTTATTGAGATCACCTTCAGGGCTCGAAGTGTTTGTTTTCTGTTTAGATGTGTCATTCTTGTGTATCGTGTCAGTGACTGGCACTCTCAACACGACTCACAGGAATGACACATCTACACAGAAAACAAACACTTTGAGCCCTGAAGATGATCTCAATAAAGATCGAAACGTTGGCACGATAAAGAAAATGTTTTTCTAAAATCTACGTCACACCAGACCGCACCTCACGATCACCAAATAATCATTTCGAAAAACGATGTTCAGAAATAATTAATAGAAACGGTAACTAAACACCACATATTTCTACACGAAAAGAGCTTTAGGGTATCTCGAAAATAAGCACTGAGAACGTTGAATGAATGATGTGGGATGCATCGAGCAGCCTTTTTCTACATGCCGGACACATTCGTATGTCCTATTCTTAGTCTTCATCGATTCAGATCTGCCTCTTTTTATGTTAATTAACCAATCATATCATTTACATTGCTGAGTTAATAATTGGGATGAAAATCTTTTTTCCTCCTTCAAAATCAAACAGATCGTAAATCTTAGAAACAGGTCCAATTTCCAAACTTCCGACACGTTTTACGCAAATTGAAGAAACAGCAATTATCGATTTGTATTTGAATGGATTCCAAGTCAGTTTGAATGCAAAACAAGCACGATATCGATTAGTTTTTCACCCATTCTAATACGAGGACCGATTTGTAACCGGGAAAACTGAAATTGGAAAATAGAAAGAATGCAAAAGAAGGAATGCAAGGAACGAGAAAAACGTCCGGGAAAAACCGACAATGTAAAATAGCAGTGTTTTTCGTGAACTTCTATTGTCCTTAAAGGGACTTTTCGGAATGTTCACCACCTTGAAGAAACAAGTAAGACTTACAAAGTAATTAACTTAAACGTTAGAAAACTAATAGTGTCAACTGTTGTCTAACAAGGTAATAGCTTCAAACTCCTTTAACGGTTAAAATACCGTCTTCTTACTTTTCCAGACACGAACGCATTCCGCAAAATACTTTTTTAATAAATCAGCTCGACTAAATGGAAAGACGAGGCCGGAATGGCAACATTGCTCGGGCCGCTCGTGCCTTGTTATAATTGCTTTTGTTTAGGAAAAATCAGTGTTTCAAATTAACGAAGTCAGCTTTTGTTATCCTGTTCCGGTGGAAATCCTATCCATTGAGGGCCCTTATGTATTTTCAAAAACCATCTTTACTACTTTCAATGTCTTAATACTTGTTGAAAATATGTATTTTTCTTTAAGGAAACGTTGCTTCTAAAATATTTGCATTTATTTAAAATACTTCGCAAAAAAGTAAAATAGAACACGTTTTTTTGACAGATAATGTATATTTATACCTTTAACAGTAGAGTGACAATATTGACAACGGTTGCACACTGTCTGTCAAGACCAATTTTATCAACAGACGATCGGAAAATTCGTTAGCAGAACAATTTTTCTTGACGGAAAAGAAAAATGACAATACAAAAATTAGATAATCACGTCCCCTCCAGTGATAGATTTGTCCAAAATATAAATGTCTACATCATTCAGAACTGATCCTAATCAGCCGTGACATTAGGGTCATAACATTGCCTAATTAGAAAGAGAAATTAGTAGTACAAATTGTTTAATCTACAGTGGCTACTGTTTATCATTTGTTTATTTTAAATGTTTATGTTCTAAAATAACGTATTCCATGTTGATATT